AAAGAAAGAAAGAAAGAAAGAAAGAAAGAAAGAAAGAAAGAAAGAAAGAAAGGAAGGAAGGAAGGAAGGAAGGAAGGAAGGAAGGAAGAAAGTCAGCCAACCATCAGGTCCAGGACTTGAACCATGGTTTGCCATGTGGGACTCCAGTGCCATTACCACTATACCACCTGCTGGCCCCAAAGGAACCCTATTCTATAATAGATTGCCTTTTTCTTGGGTTATTAGAAGCAACACTTTTCTTCTTTTTCTTTTTCTTTTTTTCTTTTCCAGTTACCAGAGGAGGCATGCACTTGCCAGAGAGACAGACAGCAAGAAAGACAGGGAGAGGGAGAGGGAGAGGGAGAGGGAGAAAGCACCCCTAATGGAAAGTAGTTCTGCATAATCCCTTCTCCTCCCTTTCTCCATCCTGTCAGGATATGGGGCCTGCACACCTGCCTGGCATGTTTTTCTAGCCCCTGAGGTAGAGATTCAAACTCCCTCCTCAGCACGTGGGATCCAGCTTTCTTAACCACTCGGTTATGCACCTGGCCCTGGAAATAACACTTTGGACTACCATACCTTGTTTTCTTTTTCTTCTTCAACATGAATATTGACAGTTATAGGATTTTAAGTTAAATGTAGAATTCTCAGTTATGGTTATTTCAGCTTTTTAAACTGACTTTAAACACATTTCAGAAAAGTACAAAGAATTTGAGTCATCTGATTCCAGTTTCATACTAACTATTACAGGCCAATTTCAACTTCAAACTCAAAGTTGTACAGTTTCTAACAATAATACAACTGAGTCGTGTGTTCTTACGAATAGAAATTGGTTAGCAAATAGACCTATTTCACTAAGCTCCAGGAAAATAAATTGGTATACTCCAATAACACAGGAAAAAGTAAATCATCATTAAATGGATCTGCACTCTCCACCATGGTAGCCTCTACTTATGTGAAACTACTTAAATTTAATTAAAGCTAAATTCATTTTACATCAAGATCTCCCATACGTATTAAATAGCCATGTGTTGCTGATGACTACTAAGTTGGACAACGTTCTGTGCTGATGGACAATACTGATCAAGATGAAAAGTAAGATCGGAACAAAAATAACTACAAAACACTAGCAAACTTGCCAGGTGCCATGAATGGGAAATAGACAAAATGTTTGAAGCTAATTAATCTTCCTTTATCTTCAAGAGCCCATATATTTACCAACAGTGGGGTTAGGCTCTGGTAATTGTGATCTTCTTTTGCTTAATTCCAAAAAGCAAAAGCAAAATATGACCCCTTTTTGGGTTGTATTTCCAAAAGCCAGTCCGAGACCAAGAACAAGGGAGACAGGAAAATAGAAAAGCATGTAGTCCCTACTCTTTCGCTGTCTCCCAGAAAATCAATTTGCTATAAGGATAGTTACCCAAAGGTAGCTGCAATGAAGAACTTGTCTCTTTCTCAGCCCATAGCCCCAGGTTAAGGGTAGAAGAAAAACAAGCAATTTTTTAAAGAGATTTTTGTTATAGGGCACACACTCACCAGAGAGGCAGAGACAGTGAGAGGGAAAGTGAGAGATCACTCCCGGGGAGGACAGCCATGCCATAATCCCTTCTCCTTTCTCCTGGGATCTTGGGCATCCACACGTGCATGTACACGTGAGTGCACACACACAGCATGGGTCTGGGGTCATCCATGTGGGAGTCCAGAGACGTAACC